TTTGTGGAAGCAGATCAATTTTTCCAAAAGGACAGCTGTAACTGCACTGTTCCCTAGCAAGCCAGCAGGACTGCCTGGTGCCCACCAACTGTGTCCACATCTAATACCCAGAGCAACACTGCGTCTGTCTAGCCCACACCTTCACAAGTAGATCTGTAAACTAAACTCCAACACGACACGAAAGAAACAGATTCCAAGAGCAGAACACTGGTGCCATCTTTTGTTTTTTTCTAGTAATAATATAAACCAGTCCTTTTAATGTACAGCTCAATTTCACAGCTCCGGCATCTAGTATTGGATGGCAAAGACTTGAGTAATCTTAAATTTCTTAATATCTTAATCATTCAAATGCTATAATACCCATATTTAATTTGTTCCTAGCCTTAAAAAATGATTCCATTTGTCAGCTGTTAGTTTGATATAACTAAGAAACACAAAACAGGCTTGGTTTTTGGAAACGGTATCAAAAGCAGTGCTTGTTGTGCTGTCCTAATTCTGCACGCGAGAATGCGGTGTCTCAGCAGCACAGGTCATTCCTGCCATATCAGTAAGATACCTGACACAGGGCTCAGCCAACAGCCAGCGTCTAAGCTTGACAAAACATTATGCAATTTAAAAGTAATTGTGTGACCAGAGCATACGCATTACTTGCTTTAATATCGATATATATGCATTTTTCACTTCAATTGTTCAATTGTACAGTTTAGATACACACCGCAATGAATACAAATGAAAAAAGACCCTAGAAATGAAAGCAATCCTGTAAGTGCCCTTGAGCACGCCACCTCCAAACCTGTCCACCCTGCCTACCTACCTTCCAGCTCCCAACCTGGGTGCCCAGCAGTGCGGGAACCACGGCCTACAGCACACCTGGGCAGCTTCCTACTGCGGTCATAGGGCAAGCAGGGACACAGCAGGTGATCTGCCCCTCCCTTCCCTTGCTGGCTTCACACACAGAACAGTGTGGGTCATTACTAACACAGCGCTAACAGGCACCTGTAGCACAAAACCAATGCCACCATAGAGTGTCTAGAAAGACACTCCTAGATCCCAAGGGTCAAAATGCACAATCAATTCACAGCAGCTGAGGCTGAACAGATGCAGAAAACAGCATAATAAGAGGGCTCTGGGGCAACAGGAAGAAAACACTGTACTAACAGCTGTAACAGCTGGCTGAGCGCCCCCTCTCATCTGAAATGACTGTGTGGGGCTCGAGCTGGAACCCTTCTGGTCAAGGAGCCACCAGTCAGGAGCTATCACCTAACACGACTGAACTCTCCATTATATAGTCTAGTATCACGGAGGCCATCAATCATTTTCTCACCCTCTAACACCTGGCAGCAGTACAAAATTATACAGATCAGAAAACACTGTAGCAAAGGATTTCCAGAAACACTGTAGCAAAGGATTTAATTGATTAAAGCATTCTTTCATTTCTGGTGTAGCAAAAAAAATAAATCAAACGAAACAGTAACAGCAGCCACTCCCACACCCACCACGGTTGTTGGTGGCCATGGCCGTTATGTGTAACGTCATTTGAGTCTAAACAGCCGAACAGACACGAACAGACGCGCACATACGGACATCAGGCCAAAGTCTGAAAGGCCATTCAAGGAACACTAACCGCGGCTATCAGGGGCTGGGACACCTGAGTAGTGGAAATGTTTCCTAAACTGTTATTTTCTCCTTGATGCAACTGTATCCATGTAAAACTGCAACCGCTCAGTAAACAGGACCAGAGTGTCCCCCTCTGACACGTTACCATACGGTAAGGGCTCTACGCCGTTCACAACGCACCCTTGGGGCACTCTTCTCCCATTCCTTAGGAGGCCCTGAATCCTACCCTTTCTAGTGACAAATGACGCGTAATCTACTTGTGCCAAAATGTTTGTCTTTTTGTCTTTCTTTTGCTACTGCTCCTACTAGGTTGAGCTTTTGTGGAAGATTTCTCTCTTGCGTTTTCACTGGCTCTACCATTTCAACCGCAAACGCCTTCCCCGCAGTAATGAAATCCGCCCAGCAGGCTTCTGAGTTCTCACAGCGGACCTCGGGCACCTGATGGCAAGCTCTTCTGTGTCCAGCCTCCGCCCCGGCTGCCCAGGGCTCGGACACTGTCCTGCCTGCTCCTTCCGGTCACGTCATCCGCTGCTGCCACTCAGGACAGAGAACCAGAGAGCTGCCCATAGCCGGGAGCACTCGCACACATCGCTTCCTAGGCCTGGTGTGCAGAAAATCGAGGCTGCCACCTGCGGGCGCGTGCAGGATCTGTGCCCACCTGAGGGCCACCACGGTGTCTGCCTCACACTCACACTCCCAGGCCAGTGTGCGTTGGCACCGAGTCCACACCTCTGCCTGCCAAGTGTGTGGGGAAGGCGGTCTTCCTTCTGTTCCACTGTTTTCTTTCTTCCTTTCTTTCCAGCTGGCTGTCTAAATCAAACATCGAATCAGCAGCCACTAGGAGCCACCAAGATCCCCTTGGACAGAAGGACACAGAAAACCCACTGTGGGCTACACACTTCGCTCCCACCTGCCGCTGCGGGGGACCAGCCAGTCCCCGCCCGCAGGCCGTGACCAGGACCTGACAGCTCCTGTTTCCTTCCGCCTGCTAAGTGGCTGTGCACAAGGCCTCCAGGCAGCAGCTCAGCCTCCTTCGCCATTCCTCCCCTCCCCAGCCCAGCCAGGGTCCTCCACGTCTAGAAGCATTCGGAGCAGACTCTCGCCCGTCCCTCACAAATCTCAGGGTGGGTTCCATACCCAAACACCGGGGACAATGTCAAGAAAGGTATTCAGACTTTTAAGGTACCATATAGAAGGGCCTGAGTGAGACTCGGACATAACCTTCAACCTTCCGAAAGGCTCAGTCAGATCAAAAACACTTTACCTAGACTGAGCCTGAAGGTTTTCATTCCCAAAATTAACACCTAACAGACTAAATGTTGCCAAAGAAGAATCACACTGCGTGTCATCTCCATCCTCAAAATTTGTTTAAATACGCTGCATTCTTGCTAAAAAAGAACATTTAGAGTAAAATACAACTTCCAAACAGAAAAGAAAATCACTGTGACTATAAGTCTCCAAAACATGTATTTCAAATGAAGTCCCAGAAATAGAAAAGCTAGCAGCTAAATTTAGTATTGAATCTGACATGTGAAAACTGTGAAGTACAGTATTTATTTATTTATTTATTTATTTATTTATAACTGAATAAATAAGACTCAGTCAAACTTCCACAGTAATTCCCACATTAAATGTTCGATGCCACGCTAAACGAATTTCATCACTAACTCCACTGTGCTTGAACACACAGCGTGTTCGGCCGCAGTCACATACTGGCGGCCTTCCTGTCCCTTCCACCTCTGGCCTCTGCTCGCTCTATTTCTTCCCCGAGGGATCCTTCCCACTCTAACCCACAAAGCCTGCCAGGCTCCTCGGTATGCTTCAGAACAAGAAACCTAGAACCAGCAGTCCTAAATTACAGTGCCAGCTCGGGCACTTACTTACTACAGAAATGTTAGCCGGTCACTAACATCCCTAGATTCTGGTACTTTATCTACAGCCAGGCGATCGTCCCAGGAAGGATAACAGGAAAGGCTCAAGCCCGGGTATGTTAGGTGTGCTAGGGTGGAAACGCTGACCCCGAGCCACCCAAAACTAAGCTAGGAATCAACACAGAGCACACTGGGCTTGCTCTGCATGAGCTGCCGTGCCTAGTGGGGAGGCGGGGAGGCTGAGGGAGCCAGAGAGAACGCCTTGAAGCACAAACTTCCATGAAGAGGGCAGCGTGGAGCCTGGCATGCTCACAGGGATCGCCCATCTAGTCGGCAGGCTGCTAAAGCCAGACAGCTCTGTGGGTTGGCAGGAAACACCTGGGAAGCCCGAAAGTCCACTTTAGGGAGGGCACAAGCTTTCGTTTTGCAACTCAGTCTGTTGATGTCCTTGCTTTCTGGGATTCAAACCCCACCCGCACCTTCCTCACCGAGCTCCCTCCAATCCTAACCTTCAGGGAACTTACAGCAGTGCGATCAGTGCATCACTAATTCCTCCAAAGTGCCCACAAGGGGAAATTCCTTACGCGTCTACACACGTTCCCAATCCCTCATGTTTACTTTGGTAAGAGTCTAGTACCTCTCAGATGAGCAACGATCAAACTTTCATCAGTAAGTTCGTGTTTGCCATCATACTTTACAGGCAGCACAGGAGAATAACTATTCTACAGACGTTAAAGCCCAACAGTAAGCCATGCATTTCCCTGCTCCTTTGCATCACTGTGGTTCCCGATGCTCCAAGGTGACAGCAGAGCTGAGGTTGGCTGACCAGGCACCCTACTAGTAACTCCCGCTACCCGACCTCCCGTAAAGGGCTAACGATGGCTGGCAGGCACACGGTGACCCTCAGGCACAGGGACCTCCTGAGCTGGGGGCCGAGGAATTCAGGTTAAATGACGGTCGGAGTATTTTCAGTACTAAAAATGTTCTGAGACACACTATTTAAAGAAAAGTATTTTTCTACTGTTTAGAAAAAACAATAGCCTAATTCTACATAAAACACAACCTTCTCTAGCTATGCCCTCATGCATTAATAGTGCCTAATATTATCCACATTAGTAATTACAATCATAGATCATTTGCAAGAACCTCAAACAACAGAACGGCGTGACTGTGTATACCTTCCAAGTGTCAAGAGCTGCTGAAGCGGCATGACCGAGCGCTGGGCTTCTGTCCTTTCAGGCTGGGTGCACACACTACTCTCATAAAAGCATGCAGTGAGAGGAGAGAAGACACTCAAAACGGGCTGCGGTGTGCAGAATGGAAAGCTATTAGGCGCACATTCGCTTATAAAGGACACACAAGAGGAGCTGTAGAAAGCACAGAAACACCTGACAGCCATGAGAAACAGCTCAGCCATGACAGGTTCAAAATCATTAGTGATTAGAGTCAGAGGGCAGAACAAAACTTCACAATAGCAATGACCTGAAAGCAGGATAAGAAAATGTTACTCACAGGGATCCTTCTCCAGGGTGTTTGGGTGTATTTATCAGCGTATGTGCATTTTTCCTCTTTTGACTTTTGGTGGCAGTTACACCGGGTTGCCTGAAAAAAAAGACACAGATTTTTACACTGATTTAACTGTGCACATACAAACAAAAGTAATGAGTGGGCTTCCTAGGTTATGCAAATCCAAACCAACAAAAAGATCACACACTGCAACCCAGTTCTGGCTACTTGTATAACGCTAGTATCTCTAGCAACATCAAGGTCTGTAAAGCTGTCTGCATCTTATTCACGGACTGGGTGTGTAAGCAGGCCGGTAAGGCTGGGATTTTAAATAAGACAGACTGCCCTGGAAATGTCTTAATCTGTTCATGAAACACAATATATATGATTTGATGTATATACATACATACAGTACTAAGTTCACGGACATAGAATACAACAATACCGACACTTCTCCTGAATCACGGCAGCGTCACCGTCATTCCCACCCGGCTTCTTAAGTGCATGCTGGATGGGCTCTCCTGGTGGTCAGACAGCCACAGTCCACACTCTCAGGGGCCCCCACACAACGCCATGCAATCTTCAACGACGTAAGGCCCTACTGGACTGGAGCATTCGGAAGGTCCTTGCCCTAGGACAAAGACCCTATCGTTTCGGGCCATTTCAATTCGCAAACATTCTCCAGACCTCATTCTACTCAAAGCACACACTTACACGAGCACATGCACCTAGTGTACAAGCCTGGGACTCGAAAGAGAGCAAAGACGACGATGAGAATTTCCCCTGAGTGACAGTATTTGATAAACAATCCACCACAGACATAACACTTCCCTGTAAGAAAACTACGAAATTCCTGGTTACGTTTCCACCTTAAAGATACTCCACATTCTTTTTCAGGAAGTAGTTCCTATTAGATCAGACCAATTTCTTTATACAAAACAAAACATAATTAAAAGGGAAAAAACTATGAAACACATGTTTTCCTATCCCTAAGAAGTGGGACAGTCATTGAAACAAAATGTACTACACAAGGAAGTCAACCTGAGTGTCTCTTAAAAGGCACTGTAATAGGACTCAACTTATGCAGAGAAAATATAAAACACTTACTGCAAAGCAAGCACATTACTTAGTCCTTTTTGACTACAGGAATCCCAGAAATACTCTTTCTGTGGTGTATGTGTTAATACAGGGGAAACAGTACAGCAAGTATTTCAACTTTCCATCGTTTGGACAGTCTAGTTTTCATGGACATCTCAACAGATACAAAATGACTAAGATGACTCCGCGAATGTCCCCTCTCTGAATAATGGCCTTCACTGCTGTCATACCCACGCATGTGTACAGATGCTCCCTTTCTGTGCGGTCCCTTAGTTAGGAGAGTGTGTCCTGTCTCTCGTCCTAGAAACCTAGATGTGGTAAATCTGCACCAAGCTCTGTGTCTAGGAAAGCATAAGTAACCCAAATCTAGCCAGTAAACACAGGAGAAGTCTGGGGTATTTCCAAGACAGTGATCCTTGTTTTAAAAGTAGGTAACTCAAGAAAAGAAGTCCTTTATTCTAACCTTTAATAATTCTGTATGAGAGAATGGCACCACAAACTATAGCAGACATCTTGTAACTACTGACAAAGCACCCAAAATGATTCCAGAACAGCCAGCCTAGAACTTTCCCATGAACCAAAAGACCAAAAGCAGCCACGGAAACGGAGCACTGATATATTCCTTGTTACCTGAGCACACTACAAGGGATCAAGTGCAGGAGCTTTGCACTGAGTTACATTATCTGCCACTTTACAGTTTTTAAATTTTTAGACAGGGTCTCACTGAGCTGCCCGGGGTAGTTCAGACTTGTGGTGCTCTTGCCTCAGCCTCTCGGGGTGCCGTCCCTTTCGGCACATACCACCACATCTGGTTTCTGTAGTGTCACTCTCAGTTAGGGACTTTTACTAGAAACTGAAAGCACTGTAAGACACGTATTAATTTATACTAGGTGGCTTACAGCAACCCATTTGACAGAAGAGACCAGCACGTATCCAGGGCAGGCACCATGCAGCTCCCATCCCATTATAACCCTGCACGACCAGGATTACTCTTACTACTTTCCATTTAGAGAAAGGGTTAAGAGAAGCTTCATAGTTTGCCTTAGGGAACACGGATACGAAGTTTCAAAGCCAAGCTCCGAATCATTTACAATTTTACAAATTATCTAAGTTTATATTACTGGAATCCCACTTTCAGTGTCCTGAAAGAAAAATTCTACACTACCAATGTCACAAGATTATTCTGAGAACTCAACAAGCCAATGTATTTAAATGAACTATTTAACTAATGTGATGAGGCAAAAATTACCAAGTAGTCTTGACACTTTCAAGTAAGGTTCAAACCTCTATACTTTTCAGTTAAATTCTCAGAGCACTGTAATCTGATTTTTTATCAATGCATTTAACACAGACTATGAATTCAACGTTTTAGTATTTTCGTGGAAGTTTTCATACGAATACAAATTTGTGGTAACACATATTTTAAAACAATATAAACAAAGCAAAGAAGGCTACCCTGGAAGGGAATCTGACCAGACAACCCTTTTCACTGGGGATAAAGCCCTGGACCAACAAGGGCACGGCCAACAGCATTCAGCTTATTAACCCGGAAGGAGCCCTCTTGCTAGTTCCAGAGAAGCCCTCAGTCCTGTCTATGGCTCTCCTGGTTGCTTTCCCCATTTTAAAAAAGTTAGTTGGAGATAAAAAGAAAAAAAAGATAAACACACAATAAAGAGGAGGGAAATTTTAACAATGTCAGTGAAAAAATGTTGCTACCTATCTCTCTACTTTCCGAAATTTCTATCTTTAAATTTTCTTGATTTGATCATACGATTCTTTATAGTTTCCTAACTAAACTTTCCACTGTTACAACCTTTCCGAATGACTTCTGACTCCTCGTTATAAACAACACACAAAAACTCTGGGCCTTAAAACTCATCTAACACGACACTCACTTCACAGAGCAACACTGCTGCCCATGCGAGTTCTCTAACCTCTGCTGGGAAGTGTGCGTCCTGAAGGTCATCTCTTTCCTTCCCCTGGAAACTGGCTGGGATCTGATCTCCAGCTCTGAAGATAAACACTGGGTCTTATTGTTCTCCAGAAAACTGTGCATGTGGTAGAACCTCAGTTTGCAGCATTAGTCTGCTCTTTCTTTGGGTTCTGAAATGTTTTCTGTGCCTTTATTCACAGTAACTGGTCTGTGTGTTCCACTTGCCATGAGGTGGGGTCTGTGATCTGCCCTTGTGACTCCAAGGGTCAGAACAGCAAACCTGAGTGAGCTAGTATTTCACACGGGTGAGCTGCTCTGGAACCAAATCAAAAAAAATATGGTTTCTGATTTCCATTCATTTATACCTTTTGTATTTTTGCAATCTAAGTTACAATTGCTTCAAGTCACTATAGATAGATTGCTTTCATATGGGACTAACATTTGAAGCTGTAACAGTGACAGAAGCACAAAGATTCAGAGCTGATGCTGAGAAATCTCTCAACATCATCCAGAGCAAAGGAACACTGTCTTCACCTGCCCTGCAGCCTCAGACACCCAGTGCCACTCTGCTCCAAGAGAGAGAAAGAGAGAGAGAGAGAGAATGTCCTGTTCTCAAAGCTATCTGGTGCCATTTACATTCATCAATGAATGTAAAGTACTGAATTTTGAACCCCCAAAATGGGAATCACTGAAAATGGACCAATGAAGAATTTTTCACATTGAATACATGACATTTAGATTGACAGTTAAATCATGTAGTTCTATTAGAGTATATAATGTAAACCTAATCATGCAATTTGAGTAGTCAAAAGTAAGACAAATTCTTAATTCTAGTTCAGAGTCTTATAAAAAGCAAAAAAAAAGATTGAAAAGCTTCCATTTCATATCCTACTGTATAATACTTACAAGTTGATGTTCTAATAGTTGAATTTTTTCATCTTTTTTCTTTATTTCATCTTTAAGCTGTTTTATTTCATTTAATAAATCTTCGGTCTGAAATGCACAAATTTAAACTGTTATTTAAAATACCCTAATGAGAAGCTTTAAATAAGCTAAAGACCCAGTGAAAACCCTCTCTCTAGCCCACCATCTGGTGGAGCTGACAGGTGAACAAGGAAAGCCCCTGGAGGGACACCTGACGTTCAGTGAGTGCCTAAGTGTGAGCACACCTGAGCACTTTCTGCTGTCCAGGCATTTGATGATGAAGCATTTGTACTTCACGTGTACTACAAACATGACCTAAAAGAAAGATTATTTTCAACGTCCCAACACAGCTACCTCTTACATAGTTAGTAAAATGTCCTGGTTGACCTGTTGAAAAACTATGAAGATGTGTGCTACAAATACTAAACAAGGGGAAGTATCTGACGTGATGAGCACAGACAGAAACATGGAGCACCATCAGGCACAGCATTTACCCTCCTGGGCACACGAGCGAGCGGCAGAGTCCTCTAACAATGTCTGTACCCTTTGAAACAGTTTCCCACTTACAGAAAGCCACGCCAAAGACATAGTTCCAAGTCTGACAAATTCTACAAGATACATGAGAGCTTACAAGTCTTCAAAAGACATATGGGGGCAACTGAAATGTAACGCAGTAACCTGATGCAACGGGACGCACACATCATTCACGTGCGCACGGCTGAGCTCTGCCAGTGCTGCAGGAAGAGGTCCAGAAGTGCAGTCAAAACACCAAGAACTAAAAACAGAAACAGCCAACAGGCACACAGCACTGAGCGGGCGGCGAGCACTGCACAATGGACTTCACATGTAAAACTGGCTATGCAGACACTTCAGGCAGTGACTGACTGCAGGGGGTCTTAAAGATCCCCAGAAGGTTTGCACCTCACAATAAGAGAGGCGACCTGTCACACAGTGCAGATGTGAGGACAAGCCCAACACCTCTGGACCACAACAAACACTGACATCACAGCACAAAGGCTATGGTAAATGAATAGCAGAAAGTGATTTGCCTACCAACATGGGCAAAGGTCGAATCATGGAGGACAGTGAGGTCTTCGGCAAGACTCTGGTCAGGGAGTGACAGATTTGCATGAGATGCACTGACAACTGCCTGGAGGGCAAAACTTTACTACAAAGTTATTACCAAGACACTGTAATATTTCAAATGGAGTAGCAATATGACCCACAAGAATTACAAAGATGGAGAAGGGTCAAGGCTGAGAGACTAGGGAAGTGCACTGATGTCAGAGACAGCACCGGGAATGCCGAGGGACATCTGACTTCTAGTCTGAGAGATGTGGTGAACGACTGCACCACCAAAACAAATGCACAGAGTCACACAGCTATGTCTGAGGAGGAGTCCATGCGAGTTTTAAAGACCCGTTGGAGAGAACTGCGGGTGGCAAAATGGGCAACTGGAGCACCATGAATGAAAAAGAGAAACTTCAGACATTATCAGTGTCTATCATAATTGAAATCATAACAGTGTAAGTTCAAAGAGGACTGGACTAGGGCCGGGGATTTAGCTCAGTGGCATAACCACCTGCCTGGCAAGCGCGAGGTCATGAGTTTGATCCTTGGTACCAAAAACAAATAAATAATAATAATACACACACAGATACACAGACACACGGGGACACACACACACAAAACGTTTGGGACTGGGGATTTAGCTCAGTGGCATAAGCGCCTGCCTGGCAAGCACAAGGTCTAAATTCAATCCCCAGTCCAAAAAAAAAAAGAGGACTGGACTGAAAATATATATCTAATACTGAAGGAAGAGTAGAAACCCACAAAGAAAATTAAGGGAAACGTTTAGATTACGAAGGATTCCAGAAGTGACCCAAAGCCAAAGGACGAAGCTTTGCAGGTGAAGGTTGTGCCTAACGTCTGCAGACGTCCACTTCTCCAGGCTGCCCAGGAAGTGAACAGGCTGAAGGGGAGTCCGGAGAAAGCCTGACTGAATGGATTCAGGGGTCTGAACCCTACAAATGTGCACACTGATGATGAAAAAGAGGGGGCAAGCAGCTCCTAAAGATGGATGAGAAAGACCTATGTGGAGGCAGCGAGCCCCTAAGCAGCAGCAGAACTACGGGCACAAAGGGGCGGCATCCAGAGCCCAGAGGCTGCTTCGCCCACGAGCAGGATGGAAGAGCAGGACTGGGAGAGGCGAAGTCCGCACCTGAAGCCCATGGGAATCCGGCTCTGCTGGAGGAGCACAGGCTCCATGCGGGGCCAGAAGTGTGCCCGCTGAGCACGGAGCCTGCAGCCATCAGGGCTGGGAAACATCAGTGTTTCCCCCAGGAAGGGGAGAAACACGAGGACGGGTGGGGCGGGCGAGGCGGGCCCAGGGTCACCACTCTGTGCTGCTAAGCACCCGGGAAAGGAAGGCGGGAGGAGTCCCGCACCTGTCCGGTCTGGGAGAACAGACCTGAGCGAAGAGGAGGAAGAATGCGGAGTGCTGGGCTGGAAGGAGAGAGCGCAGGGGCAAGAAACAAACCCCGAGCAGCACTATGTCTACCGCGTAACAGTAAATGTATACACAAGACACAAAGAAACATGGGAAACAGTGAACACAGTAGTGGCACAAAAAGTTGCATTTTTTCTATTTTAAAAAATGCTTTCACAAAAAAACTGAGGAAAAAAGGTTAATTTTTTAAAAAAATATGCCAGCCATAAAGTTAAAAACTAAGACAGCCTGGGAGATCATTAGATCACTAGTTCTCAAACGGGTATGCATGTGAAACCTTTTCAGAAAAGCGCTGGTCTAGACCTCAGGGTGTGGCCGACCATTACACCCCCAGCAGAGAAGCGCTCAGTGCCAGGAAGGACAGAAGAGCCACCACATGCAAAAGCCATGAGGAGGAGGTAAGGAGGTGAATGCTCTGCGGAGCCCCACTTGGCCCGTTCTACACAGTGTACTCCCAGCGAGTCACTGAGGTTTATTTATATACAGATTTAAAAACTTCTAGCTACTCATTAAAATAGAACTCTTCATAAGAAATGAAAACTTTATGCACTACAAACAAGTATGAACAAATTTTTAAACATTTAAAAGTATATCTGAATTCTCTAAGTATATATTTAAACATGAAAAAAAATAATCTCATTAAAATCAGTGTATTTCCCTAATGCTGTGCTTGTACTTGAAAAGCATTACCTTCTTTTTTAAATTTTACTGGTAGCCATAGTTTAAGGGCTGTTACTCATTTACTAGTAACATAAAAACCAAGAGCAACAGGGACAAATTATCATACAACTGATAAACACAAACTACAGCTGTCACTGGAATATCACAATTTAAAAAGAAGCAAACATTAAGAGCGAATCTGACCTTCTCAGCCAGCAAAGGTCAGTCAGTATTTTAATTATCATACTTTATTACTGGAATAATAGGGACCCTAGCTCGCCAGCATCACTGTGCAAGCATACCTTGTATGCCTCGTCAGCTTCTTCTGGTTCCGGACTGGAGGGCAAGGACAGCTGGACGTCGTGCACTGACCCACTTCCATCATGCTGTCAGAAAAGAAGGACACCAAGTGAACGCAGGCATCCAGCCCCCAGCCCCCCAGGAGCAAAGGGCAGCACAGGCTTCCACAGAAAGGCCGAGGAGGGAGGGAGGCGGGAGCAAGCTGTGGAGACGGCCGCTGAGTGAGCAGGCAAAGGACACAGCCGGAGGCTTCAGAGCTGGAGGTGTGAGAAAAGTTTTAAGGCCCGCAGGTTACCGCAGCTAAGAAAAGTGCAAAATGACCGTCAGTGGGATCTGCTTGGGTTTAGACGTGCTTTAGTATAAAGCAGTGTAATATAAATCATTCAGCAGGAGACACTGCAAAAATTGTTTGATTAAAAATACTAACTACCTGACACTGTACCACAGGCCTACTTTCATAGGAAGCACGGAGACAGGACACGAGTCAACAGCACGGAGATCAGGACACCGACTGGGAGCGCAGCTCTCTGGCTGGGAAGGAGCCTCAGGCACGAGGAGGGAGCAGGAAGCCTGCTAGGTCCTGACTGCCAGCGGTCACAGAAACACGCTTAGGAGCAGCTCAAGTCCCACACTTACGACTAGGCACCTTAGGCATGTTACAACTGCTATGTCACACCTCAAAAGCACAGGTGAAAATACAAAGCATTTGGCCTTACACTTGATCAAACATGAAGATAATACCATGTTCTACAAAATGGCCACTGATTCAGATACACCACCTCAAGGAAGGAGGGCCACGGTGGACTCTGCCTGGAGCAGCGAGGGTCTGAGCAGCCGATCAAGGCAGCGCTATGGTGACACCCGCAGAACCAGCGCCTCCGCAGAGCACACAGGCCAGGTGCGTCCTGCTACACCTGGACAGGACCCTGCGCCGACACTGGCGTGTGTGCAACAGCAGAGTGAGCATCCACTAACTGTCCCCTTCATTCACTGTACCACGCAGCCGCTGGACCAGAATCTCCAAGGATGGACCCGAGGAAAGCCCGAGAGGCAACACTGAGTGTGGCGACCTGGCATCGGCTAAGCTGCCAGCCAGCAAATTACATTTTTAACGTGCTGTGTAAGGAAAGACTGTGGCTTGAGAGGAGAGGCAGGATCCCAGCAGACAGGAAATGTTCTCAGAACTTCTCTTTTCGTTCTGTTGTTGTTGTTTAATGTAATAAAAGAACAAGAAGGAAAAAGGGGGAGACTTTTATCATCTGTTATTAATGAACCACACAGAAATAAAGGGCCACCCGATATACAGGCAGGTGTGAACGGAGAACCGGAACTCTGCCTGAAGTCCAGGTATCTCAAGGCCCTCCGACAGCTGCACAGCAGGACTTCCGGGAGCGGAGCTTGCACAGGTGCGAGGGAGGAGAAGGAAACACCTTGATTTCAGGTGGAGCCAGCAGAGCAGGAAACACCCGGGACACCGCAAAATGCCAGGAACTCAGGACAGCGACCCCACTTTGTAAGCTCATGTAAATTCCCAGATTGGATCCAAGCAGCCTAAGCAGCACATCAAAGGCTATAAAATAAACCAAGAACTAATCTAAAACCACCAGCCAAGTCTTAAACTAGTCTCTAGTATGCACTCAGGATAGATCTGGAGACTGAATGACTCTGAAAGCAGAACTGACACTGAAGGACAATATAACCAGACCGTTAGCCTAGTTTAAGAAAGAAAGAAAAACAGGCTTTCCTAGGGTCTACACAAATCAAGACTCTCATTATACAATGTTTAAGTACATAAAGTATAATCCAGAATTACTCAGCATATAAACAAAAGGCAAAATCTCAACCCACTCAGACACCAACGCCAAATGACACACCTGGAAAAGACTTTACTGGTAGAGCTAGCATGAAAACTCGCCAAAAGCAAAGTTCACTCAAATTCTTGATGTAAACAGAAGAAAACGTCTCATCAAAGACAGAGACTACATAAAGTAAAAATAGCCCAACACTTTCAATGTGCACAAAGGGCTAAGTACCAGAATTTGTGAGCTGGGTGTGGTCACACACCTCTTACGCTCACACGCTCCCAGCACTAGGGAGGCTGAGGCAGGAGGCCCATGGAGTTCAAGGCTGGTTTGGGCTACACAGTGAGTTCAAGGCTGTCCTGAAGTCTGCAATGAGATCTTGACTCAAAAAGACCAGAAGTAAGTAAATACCAGCATTGGAGATGTCAGAGTGAACCTGAGACACATCAGCAGAAATCATCCTGTACGATGAGAAAAACACTGGCAAGGAGCTAACATCAACAGCGTGGTCGGGAGCCTCCAGGGACAATCACCCAAGAGAGCTTGCTTTCACACCAGGGAGTCCCAAAAGAGGGCGAGGAAAGAATGGATGGGTGCTGAAAGACACGCACCCTCGGGTTCCAGAGTCTCGCTTTAAAGTAACTGAAAACACACAAAGTACACAAGAGCATGAACTGGAAACCAATAAAAGGAGTCACCCTTTGGAGATTTCCCACTGTCTCATTAGGCCTGGACCGCCCTCTCCCACCTCGTAAGACCTGGACCAGAGGACTGCTGAGATCAGACAAGACTGTCAGGGCTCCTGAGGTCACTCGCTGCCCTGCTACCGCTGGGTCAGTATTACCTAAGCGACTGTACTACAGTCTTATTGGTGGATCATAATTTTGACCCAAGCTGTACCCGCCCCATGAGTCTGCTCTTTATACAACTTCCTCTGAGAGGTGGGCTCCTGGGCAACCCACTGGGACCCTGGGAGCACAGCACTCGGGAAGCTGAGGCAGCAGGACTGCCCCAAGTTCAAGGTCAGCCTAGTAGGCTACACAGTGAGTTCAAAGACAGCCCGAACTACATAGCAAAACCTTGCCTCAAAAAACTAAAATAATAATATTTATTATTTCTTATGGCAAAGAACTAACATTTACAAACCAAAATCCAAACAAAACAGAAAATTCAAGAAAAAAAGATCAAAATCAAAATTTTAAAAATAGAGAAAATATAGTTAAAAGTTCATCAAAAAAGACACATATGTATGTGAAAGAAATCAGAAAAAAAGAAATGGAGAGTTATCCTCTGTTCATGAACTAACAGATTCAATATTGATGAATTAAAGGATTTAATATAGTTATAATATCAGTCTGTTTCAAATTCAACTACAAATTCACAATCCTGTCAGTCAAAATCCCAGCAGAATATTTTTGGAAAAAGAGAAAAGTTGCTTCTAACATTTACGTGGAAAGGCAAAAGAATTAAAATAATGAAACTATTTTGAAAACAAATTTGAAAAGTCATCCAGTAAGTTCACATTTTAAGCCAACTGTATGAACCTCCAGCAACTCAGACAGTATGGTATCACCATAAGATAAACAAAGGCCAAAGAAACAAGGAAATTCAAAAGCATCCTGCACCTTTATAGTTAGACTTTAAAACAAACCATAAAGACAACTTAATAGAGGAAGCACAGTCTTTTCAGAATCACTGCTAGAAAGTTCACACCAGTGCAACAGGGTAAATGGTACCCATCACTCATACCATATGCGAAGACTTAAAACTGACAGTGACCTAGACTTTAAACTAAAACTTCAAAATGCCTTGAATACAGACAATCCTTGTGTCCTCAGGCTGAGTCAAGATTTCCCTGATGTGCCAAATCAACTGATCAATTTACATATATAATTTGTATGTATGTGTGTGTGTGTATAAATATATATATATATTTATACACACACACACACACACACACACACACACACACACACACACACATATATGACTTTAAGAGTAGAATGCTTGCCCGTTAACAAAGGAACAGAAAACTGCAAACAGAAGTATCACTGACGGGTGGAGAGTACCCACCTCCAGTACACTATGAGCACAGTGCCCACCTCACACCGGGCATCTAGGAAACTAACCCTGAAACAGCAGCGACCACAGTGTAGAGGTCCAGGGTTTCCACTGACTTCGTTCACTGACATAACTAACTCTGTTAGCTCCAGAAACAGAACTGGTACCAAAATTCACCATGCCGGCAAACCAGAGTGTGCCAGGACGTCTGGCCAGCATCCTTCTTCACTACAGCCCACAATTAAAACTGGATTTCACATTAAGTGGCTGCACTGAAAGGCTTTTACATGTCTGCGTAACAGCTTCAATTTTAAGTTGCCTCGGGAGACTAAAATGTCTATTCTCTGGCCCTTTAAGACAGCGCTGCGGAACCCTGGCGCTAGGCCATAAAGGAATCATCAACACATTCCAAAAGAACTGGTATCACACAGCACTGTTCGTGGTTATCCGTACTAAGGTCAGCTATCAGTTAAAGGAAACGCCACGCCAGGTGTGGGGCCGCAATCTGGAGCCCCAGTTACCTGGGAGGACGACCCGGACGACTGCAGCTCAGGGAGACCTAACGGGACGGGCTCGGCGGGGATGCGCCTGCCTGGCAGGTCCAGGCCCTGGCTGTATCCCAGGACCACCAAAACCAGAAGGCCCAGTGGCCACACTACTATTCTGAAAACTAAAAGAAAACATGAAATAACATAAATATGTAAGACTGCCCCCAACAACTAAGAATTATTAATGCGTAAGTTATTGCTATACTGTGAATAAATCGTGCCTTTTTTAAAAATAAAAATAGGAACCAGCAATCTAGATTTGGGAGCTCAAAGAGGAAAAAGGCTTTTATTTACATCAAAGCCCAAGGGCTTTGCAGACTCCTGAACATGGTCTCCAACTGAGTTTACCAAAGGTCCCTTACTCACATCAACGGGGCACTCACTCAGCAGTGCACTGCTTTCTATTGGATCCTGACCAAGACGAAAGTGGCCAGGTGAAACAAACGTCCTCAGCCACGCTTCTCCTAGGGTCGGAAGGGGTACCCCTAGAAAGCAGGCAGCACTCTCTTCCAAAGAGGCCCTGTCCCTGCTCACATGACTTATACCAAGAGCTAGGCTGGGGGCCAGAGCTGGGGCCGCTTCCCCTGCTCCCTCCCTGAATCATTAGCTGTGGACAAAACTCCCTGGAGCTTGCCGTTCCAAACTTGAGCTCAAGAGAGGGTGGCCTTCTCCAAG